TGGCTCAACATTTTACCTAGCTTGGTCTTTGGCATCATCACCTTCCGATCCCTCTACAGTTTTCGAAAACTCGGAACCGGAATCAGAAGAACCTGGAGCGTCATACTGCGCCAGGAGTCCATTCTTTGCAGCCAACTCAAGCTTTCTAGCCTTATCAATTTTGACATCAATGTTAATGATACCGGTCTTGTCCTCTTCCAGGGTTTTTATCCTCATATTATAGATGGAATAAGAGTTTTCAACAATGAGGGAAGTCACTCGGTGCTTGATTTCTTCTTTGAGTTGAGTAACTTAGGCGAAAAGGTTTTCCTGAGAGGACCTAGCATATTTGAGACTGATGTTGAACTCACGGACAATTGAAATAAAGAGTCTATTATGCTCAATGGTTTTCCTGTATTTCTCTTCCAACTGAGCATGTTTCGCCACCACATCATCAAGCTCTTCACTTTTGGATTTTAAGGCTGCTTCCAAATTAATCACTCTTTCAGTGGAGGCAGCTTCACGATCGTTTGCAGCAAGAATGATGTTCAGGACTTCTACACATTTAGCCTTGGCTTTATCAAATCTAACCCTTAGCGACCCAATTTCTTGGCTAAGGGTTATCACTTCTTGCACGATTTGCTGCAAACAAGCCTCCAAAACAATGGTCTCGGTAGCCTTGGTTTCAAGTTTCGAGAGACGGAGAATAGTCTGGTCCCGTTCCGACAAAAACTGATCTCGTTTAGAAGTAAGTTCTTCCTTCTCACAAATCAGCCTTTGAAGGCCCTCCGAAGCAAGAAAGTTGGCCTACAAAACAAGAAGAGGTAAAACTTAGAGTATATATGTTCATAAGTAGAAGAAATAACAGAAGAAGAAAGAAACGTGCCACTACGGCATTATGCATAACATTGCTCAACAAACACTCCCCAGAGAGTGTCTGAATCTTCTCCCAGTCATTTTCTGAAGTCAAAGGCTTCAGATAGTTAGCAAGCTCCACCGGCCTCGAAAGCAAGTTGCACCCGGTGGAGACCGAAAGGGTAATACTCATCCTCCTCTGTGGATCTTCAGAGGGGGAGGCATAGTTTTGCCCCAAATTCCTATAAACTGGGGACTGTGGAGGAGGGGCACCTTCTTCATGGTCAGGTGCGGCCGATGAAGATAATGTAGCAATCGTTGCTGTAAGAGTGGATGAAGATGGAAATGATGTAGCAGTTGTCGGTGATGGTGAAGGTGGAGATGAAGCTGATGGAACTGAAGAATGAGAAGCAGCTATATCGAATGTAGTGCTGTTCGTTTGGTGCTCGCCAACTGAAGTTGGCAAGGACCCAGCACTCTGTCTTGCAGTACCGAGCACAACAATTGGGGCCCGAGAATGGGAGTTGGCATTATCTACCAAATCAAATCCTCCCCAAAGTGTTGAGATGTCATCTTCAGTTGTTGCAATTGTCTCAACAGGTCGAGCATCTTGTTGAGATGATGAGAATCGTATCCTTCTATGTAAAGAAGCTCCATCATCACTAGCTTTTTCATCATCGTCGATCATCACAGTGTCTATGACCGGCCCGGAAGGAGAACCAGTCACTATCGCCACTAGAGATGACTCGGGTGCATAAACCTTTACCCTTTTATTCTTTTCCCCAGCCGTAGAGGTACGTCTTCTTTTTGGTTGCTTGTTCTCTAGACGGGGACTCCGTGAAGAAACGTTTGCGCTCGAAGCAGGCCTAGAGATGCATGTTCGAGTAAGTGCCTCCTGAAGCAGCCCCGCTGCATCTGCATGGTCAGCCAAAACACCCTCGGGGACATAAATTGAGCCCGCAGGTAGACCTAATTTCGTGAACAAGTCAGAAGGGTTCAACCAAATTCTTCATATACATGATTTTTGGCCTTCCACCCATATTTAATGGACAACTCTTTCCACAAATGATTTTCGGGCATTGTGGTGTCCAAGATCTTCTGAACCCACCGGTCCAAGCCTTCTACGAGTGGTGGGACCCATCGAGTCACTGAAACAAACGAAGATTGGAGAATCAATACAAACATGATTGAATATTTAGTAAGAAAAGGTGTGTTAAAGAGAACTTATGAGAGCAGTTCCAACCAACCGGAAAGGATGAAGCCGTTGTTGGAATAATGTCACCGGTGGCAACTGCAATGAACTGCTCCATCCATCCACGGTCATTGTCGTCGTCCATTCTAGACAGTAAAGCATGGTGGCCAAGCTTGCAAAGGTTTATCATTCTCCCACGGAAGATTTGGGATAATAGAGATTCATCATATGAGCTAGGGTTAGCTCCTCTCTAGTTTCTAGGAAAAGACACCGGAGGTAGGTGACTGTCCTCCATACCGAAGGACTTACCTGTGCCAAACACACCTGGTAGCGAAGGCAAAACTTCGCAATCACAGAATCAAGCTCTCCGCTCAAAGAAAACGCACCCAAAGTAAAGGGATACATGAAGAAATATGTAAAACCTTACTTGGGAAGGGTCACTTGCTTCGATAAATCAGGAGCAATAATATCTAACTCAGTGAAGCGGTAGTCTTCCTTCACAGCAGGAATACTAGAAGGGCGAATAGAAGAAGGGTATCTACTAACAGCCCATGTGCGAGGGTTAGCAGCAGGAAATTTCTCTTCGAAATCCTTCAAAGTACTAAGACTTCTTGTGATGATAGAACCCACTGTTGGAGGAACAGAATCCTCGGTTTTGTTCTTGCCCTTTGAAGAACTAGCACGTTTTGAAGAGGAAGCCATTGGAATTGAAGGAAAAAAAATTTCTGGTTCGAAAATGATCAGAGAAAAGTTAGGAAATAAAGATACAAATTAGAAGTTTGAGAGATTATGAGGTACATAACTCATAAGAGAAGGATGGTTCATATAAGTAAAATATGGCGCTTAAATTCAGGGCCATGATTACCTCGATAATCGGCAAAAGCTGTGCTGAATCGTGGGATGATGCGTGTTCGGGGCATTAAATACGGAGATACATGCGTCTTATCAACTGTGAGAGAACTTCAAAGGGAGTTATAGTAATTCCCGCCAAAAAGCTGCTTTCTACCAACTTCCCGGTAACTCAAGATTGTGTCACCAGAAAGCAGGGGGACTATCTGTATAGGAAAAAATATGACATGATACGTGGTCGCTTAAAGGAAGGACACGTGGAACACAAGATGGAGGTGGCCACCGAACATAGGTGTTCCGCTTGTCACCGGAAGGAATGACGATCATAAATTGAGTATTAAATGCTTTGCGCCCGGTAACATTTAATATAAAATATTTTGCAGCATTAAGGATGATGATCCGTTATAAAGCATTTAGCATTTATGTCCAACGCTAAATCTTCATCAATGGCCCTCATAATTGACATTAATGAAGGGCACGATCTTAGGACTTCCTCCCCTAGACATAGCTATAAATAAGGAATCCAATTATCATTGCAGGGAGAATTTTCTGGCTAACTTACACTACATTCTATACAATATTTTTAATACAAGTTTAGTTTCTTGCTTTTGACCTTATCATTATTGTGCCTGGAAACCCTATTTCCCGACTCATCAACTTTATCGTTTCTATATTCTAAGGCTAAGTATTTTATATTTTATCAGTTATTTAATTACTTTTCCGATCAAATTAATTCACTTGTCTAGAAACCACGAACAAATTCAACTGTACCATTTTTTGGGTAAACAACCACCAATACCCACTTCAAAAGATTTTTAGTTATAAAACACCATAAGGACCCAAAAAAGAAGAAGAAAAAGAATATGATGAAGTAGTCACATGCGCACACACAAAAAAAAGTAAATATTTGTACAGAAAAAGTAAAAATTTAATAAAAAACACTTCTGAGTTCAGTACTGATGAAGTTGCTGACCGTCGCCTTTAATGGTAGAGAAAGAAAGTGCATACGGCAGATAGAGGTCGGCGAAGCAGTGGCAGAGTGAGCTGAGTGAAGAACATGGAGAAAAAGAGAAAGAGGATGGAAATGAAAGTGGTCATGGGAAGGAAAATCAGTGCATTTGATAGAATGAAAGAAGGAGAATGAGGATGAAAATAAAGATGATCTTGGGAAGGAAAGTGCATTGAAAAAAGTGGCTTCAACTTGTTAATAAATTGGACCTAGAAGCTATATATTGCAGGTCAATTGGAAAAACCTAGGCTAGTAATTTATTGAGTGAATTTTCATAAACCACTACAGTTACTAACTCACTTGTATTCAAACGCGCAACGAATACAGCTTGTGTAAACTGTATTCGTTTGCGCAACGAATACAATGCGTATCAACTTGTAACTAATGCGAAATACAAGGGCGCATACAAAGGATACAATTTTTATCAACTGTATACATGGGTATATACAAAGGATACAACTTGTATCGACTGTATTAAAGGTTTTCCAAAGAGGACTAAGAGACAGTCTAAGCGAATATGGCACGAAAAGGAAATTCATAAAGAGCATACCGCAAGTAGGAAGTGGAATTAATACAATGGATTCAAAAGCATCAAACCTCTCTTGTTCGAAAGAATTAAAACACATCGAAGATGGAGTACTTGGGATCAGCAGAATTATAAAACTACAGAACCAACTGGTTTCACACCAGGAGAACAAGATCCGAAGCAAGCTTTTCCAATCTATCTAGCTTCGGTGTGTTCTTTGCTTAATTAAAGGGCATCCACGTGTATCGATTATATTTGTTCGCGCAACGAATACCACTAACGCAAAATACAGAAATACAAAAAAATAAAATATTCTTATTGATATTCGAACTCAAAACCTTCACTAGCTAAGTAGACGCTCTAACCAATTGAGCTACAAGAGTTTGTTTATCTCTTGTTTTAGTTCGAAACAGTTAATCTCTTATTTCATGGATTTGTTAAAAAATTCAAATTATATTATTTATATTTATATTTATTTATATTATATAGAAGAGAGAAGATAGTCGACCAATGGCATCTTTGCAAATCAAGCTTCTTTTAAGGGTAAAACAGTAATTGTGTCATAATTGTTAAGTAGAAACTCTAGAAGAATCCGATTTTTCATTCTCATCTCTAACTAAAAAAAGAAAAGAACAGACGCACAAGCAGCAGCTCTTCTCTTCATCTTCTCATCCAGGTATGTTTTCCATTTTATTTTTGCTAAAATTTCTTTCTGTTGTTTTCGTTCTTTCTACTTTTCGGTCTATCTTTGTTGAATCTGTTTTGGTTTTTGCCCTTTTTTTTGCTCTTTTGCTTCATTGTTGTTTCCTTAACATTGTCTTTTTTTCTTTTCTAATTTTATTATGTTGTTCTCTCGGTATTCCTAACAACAACTTGTTGTTTCTCTCTCCCTCTGGAGTAATTCTCGAGGCTGGCATATATATTCTTTTTGATTTTTGTTTTGCTTTCAAGGAAGATTTTCCCCCCTCATAAATAGGAGCTTTGTATTGAACTATGATCAGATTTTAAATAAGTATTGCGAAAATGAAACAGAGATTACTTTTTGTTCTTTTCACATTGTGGTTTAATTTTTGTTTTATGTATAATATGCTATTAACTAGCACGTTAATTGTTTGGGCCGGCTCTACAAACAAATATGCTTCTGCTCTCTTAAATTTTGTTTATAAGAATTTGTCTTCACTAAAAACTTAATCTTGACAAAGAATTCTAATTAGAAGTTGCAGTATATTAGCATAATGAAAAATAACATAAAGTGACAGTACTCTGAAAATCCACCAAACCTAAAGGTACTGACTTAAAGCCAATGTAGAACCAATAGTTTAAGTTATGTGTTACCTTAAGAATTGGGGCTTTGTAAAACTTTAAGGACGATTCATCCTATGCAAAATAGTTGAATAGAAATTTCCTGTATATGCTTTCATAAAGAATCTTACTGGTTATGTGCACAAACTAAAGGACTAAAAGCCTGGGAACTTCAAATTTTGAGGATTCCGGGTCGAACTGCTCCAATAGGTCATCAATCTATATGCATTTTTCAAAATGGGGTATAAATGTTGTTGTATTAGAGTTACTCATTTGTCAATAATGAGTATTTTGCTATAACTATAATTTCAATTTTTTTTATCATATACTGGTTTTAGAAGCAACAAGCACGCATCCTTTTTTATTTATTCCCATATATATCTTCTTTCCCCTTCCCCCAAAACTTTAGTCGTTATCATACTTCGGATCTTTAATTACCAATATTGTTAAGGTTAAAATTTTCTTGAATTTAACAGTGGTCGACTTGAAGAGAACGAGTGCAAGCTAAGATAGTTCATGTGATCCGATGTTTTGGCAAAAATGCGAATATTTGATCGTTTGTATGACATAATTGGACACTTTTTACCACAAGGTGAGTAATTAGATTTTCATAAAGTGACTTTTTTTGGTCAAGATAAAGTAAAATATTCTTATTATTAATTATTTCTTTATTTATTATTTGGAATTGAGGAGTAGTTCTTATTGTTGTAATATTTAAGGCTAGATAAAAATATATCGATATTTAATCCTTGAATGAATAATTTTAAAAAATAATGGAATATTTCTTCCAGTTTCCTGCTGAGAAGCTAGAGGGTCTATAATAGCTTGACGGAAAAATAAAGTTTTGAACTTTACAAGGTTTATCAACGATGCGTATGTACCATGCTTATTCAGATCATGTTAACAATAGCAAGTAACATAAAAAAAATTCTTCCCTTCAAATACACATTCATATTTTGGTGTATGTGAAGAAATTACCAACCTCTTGAGTGGATCTCTTTGATAGAAAAAAGTACTTTTGCACAAGTCATGTATGTGTATATTATAATTGCTTGGTCTAGGACTATAATAAATATCCTTTGCTCATAAAGTCTTAATATGTACCATGCTAGAAGATGTCTTCTTAGTGATCTATATTGCCCCAGCAAATTAAAGTATTTATGGACTTGGAGAACCTATCAGGGATTTCATGAGCCATGAGCCTACCTCAGATGAAGAGGTCCTGTTCTAGCAAAGAACTAAAACTATAGAGTTAGTATCGGTATAGTAAAAGTGTTTCTTTTTTATCCATGGAATGATAACTAAGAAGGCGTAATTGACTAACCAAATAGGTTTCTTCTTTATTAATTTTTATATGGGCTTAGATACCAAGTCACTAAATTTATAAGCAGCAACCTGCTACTCTGCTTCAACACTTTCTTAATATCAACAAGTAAGCATGCTAAAACAATATTATCCTTAGTTTCCATTTGAATGAGAAGCTCACCATATTGCCACCAGTATTTATTATAATAATATATATGCATGGATCTTTTACAAATTAGTTCTTGAAGCTTCCAGAATAAGGCTCCCGCCCCATTAGATGTCCTATGCCAAATTTTGCAGCATGACTTATGGTGGTTGATTTGTAGTTCTTAGCTATCTATTTGGTTATTTTTGCCGTTATCGTTTGTTCATTTATGTGAAGTAACTACTAAACTAAATACCATATTCTTTTTGGAACATGTATCTCTTGAAACGTATGCTCCTCAAGTCCATCATTTTGTACCGTAAATTTCTAAAAAAAGTTATACGGTTAACTTTCTATTTGAAAGTCAGCAAAAGACAAATATGTAATACTAGAATGAATTGCGCGGGTGGTTAGATGTTTGATTGAAAGAGTTTAAACATTTAATGAAGTTAATAGAAGGCTTGACGATATTTAATATACTCGAGCATAGAAATTAAATTTTTTTGCAAAGCTTAATTACTTCCCTCGATTTATAGCAAGGCACAAGTTTTTAGCTCAAAAGAATACATGTCTCAAAAGATATTAAAGCTCCACTCTTTTCTCAAGTTTTTGCTACAGTTCGGTTTTGGTCTAATTGCAGTTTTGCTGCAATTTTTTTTCTTTTGCAGTTTTGTGTTAAGTATTTGCTGCAGTTTTGGTCTAGCTATGAAGTAATTTAACTGCAATATTTGTCCAGTTTTGATGATGTTTTTTATGGAATGGGTCTTGAAGATATGAATTAAGGTTTTTTAAAAGGTAGAAGAAGACCGTCCATCAAGGGAGAGCTTTTTTCATGTTGGATAGCCACGTCATTAATTATGTTATAGTTAAATATGTGTGGCATATGATGTGGAGGGTCGTTAGTAGTAAAGGTATATGTGGGCCAAAAATTAGACGGCAGGAGTATAATTGCTACTAAAATTTAACGAGGATAAAAGTGACATAATTCGAATAGTTCAAGGGTAAAAGTCACATGATTGGAGTGCAGTTTCATTTTAGGAACATCAACGTTGGTGGTATTATCCATTGATGTCGTAAAATAGAGTTCCAAGTAGCTCGATATGAAATCAGCGTATGCTATCTTTTTTCATTCATTCTCATTGCACTTCACCTAACAGTTTTTTTAAAAAATATAGTTTTGCTTGGAATTTGCTTTTAAATTTATATTTTATTCCGATGTTTTGCGTGAAAGTACAAGTAGTGGATTGATATACCGTCTTTGCATATTTGGTAGGGACTAATTCACTTGTCCACTTGTAGTTCTTGATAGTTTGGTTTGCTATACTTTTAGTTCAGTACATGAAATGCATAAGGATTATATGATTCATGTGTATTTATAAATGGGATGAATACATGCATTCACATATGTGCTATCTTTTAACATATATGAAGTATGTATTATGAACATGCTTCTGTGATGACTACTTTCGACTTCTTATATTTTTCTTTGTTTGCTGATTATAACTATCGAGCGAAACTCAGAGCAAAATTTACTTACCATAGTTGCCGAAGAGTTAAAGTTTCTCCTCCTTCACTTCGAATGGTAACGGATATGAACTATTCATCTTGGTACCTCTTTTTGCTCAATCCCTCAACATACCGTTCCCTATATATTTATGTAATATATCATTATGATGGTAAGGCTTAAATCACTTCAAGCACTTCCATGAAATAGCCGGTTTTGGATTGCGTATGTGTTTTAGTTTATTTATTTCATTGTCTTTATGTTGTAGTTATGCACATGCTTCAATTGGTTCTGACATGCCCGCAGAAAGAGTTACTTTGTACTTTACGTTGTCTTCATTTTTTTTTTGTTCAAACTATTTATTTAATTGTTTCTCCTGATTTAAGCAAATTAGTTTGATTCCAATGATAACCTTGATGTGTTATGTTCAATAATATGTTTTGTTATAATTTTAATTGTGTGCGTTCAGTTTCTTGGTTGTCATAGAAATTTCATTTATTCAGGGACTATATTATATCTCTAAGATACCCTTTCATTGATGGATGATTGGTGCATTTCTTCTTTGAAGCGACTGATAAAGAAGTTACTTACTTTTACAGGAGACTTCTGATGTTTTTATCATACTACAAATCCATAGATTTTCTTAACTTGTGACATACTTAACCTGCCCAACCAGTTGAAGTAAGTAAAGACACTTACTAAGACCAAGTAACAATCAAAGCTTATAATATGGACAAAGATGTATAAATGAATTGAATCGCCTATTTATTTTGACTTATCAATGGTAACTCAGTCATGCAAAGTCATGAACAAGTAGTGCCTTTGGTCTATTATTTTGTATAGTTTATCTTTGCGAATTTAATATCATTGAGGGAGTGAGATTTATTATTTTTGAATGCGCAGATTCTGAATATGTATGTTCTGAGTAGTAGGCGTCTTTAACATTTGTCGCTATTTAATAAGAATGGATTGTGCTTTTGTGTTAGTGAAATTATGATTGTTCAAACTTCTAAACCTATTTAGGGTTTAATCACATATGCAACTAAATGTTAGACACAAATTTCCTAAACTATATCAGTATTTTGAAATGTTGGGTCTGTGCTATGCACGGGCAAACTTCATCTAGTATAGCTATGAATGGTAGCTACAGATTTAAATATAGTATAAATATTTGATGTGTCGCGTAATATTTTTTAATTTATTTTGGTAGCCACACAATGTTAATTTCTCTTTAAATTTTGTACTCCGATGGCGTTAGAATTTTTACAGCAATTTTACTGATTCTAGCAAATTATCACTCTATTTTTAGGTTATCATATTAGACTTGATATAAAAAATTATATATAGTTTAGATAAACTTTATCATATAGTGTAAAAAATTAATTATATTGTCGGTGCATAAAATTTAAACTTCTAACAAAACAACAATAGCAACCAAAGGAAACCCCACAAAGTAAGTACCTGTTGCGGAGGGCAGGGCATATTTCAAGTAACGCCAATAGACCGAATGAAAAAAGCTATAGTTATTGGTATCGGAATGGTTTGAGTTATCTGGTTCGAGTCTCGATTTCTCCAAATTTATAAATGATTTAATCAATAACCCAATAAGCTTTTCTTCCAATAATAATATCCAACCAAACTACACTATCTAACCTAAGCCCTAACTACACATAACATCCAACCAAAATGCCAAAATAACCAACTAAACTTAATCAATATCAAACTAAAACTAATTATGGGACATGTGCGGGGCGGCTCTAGGGCATTTGAGGCCTAAGGCCAAAGTCAAATGTGAGGCCTAAGTATTTAAATTTTTTAAAAAAACTTAAATGATATGTATGGAGTAAAATTAATGAAATACCATATACCAAATAAAAACAATACTAGAAAGATATTACCCGATTTCTGATTCAGGAAATAATTGAAGAATGAAGACTTTGAGTCCAAAATATCTAGTTGTTGCTTGTTTACTTCAAAATTCTTGTTGTAAATCTTGAAAACTATACTATATTTTTTATAAAGTAATAAAAGTATAGAACTATTGAAATTTTAAAAATATTATTGAACACTTGAACTAATAATTTTTTGGAGAAAGAAAGTGAAAAATAAAATTTTGGAGAAAGAAAAAAATATTGGAGAAAGAATTCAAGAAGGTGAGAAAGAATAAAGAGAAAGGATGAAGATATGTAGGTTCTGAAATATGAAAATTAAGATTGAAACATTGGAAAATGAGTAAAAAATAGAATTATTAAATCAACTCAAATTGAAAATTATTTTTAAGTAAGTCAAATTTTTACTTTATTTACTCTAAAAGGTTTTCTTTTCATTTATATGAAAAACACAAAAGTACTACTACATATTATTTTTTAAAATATCTATAAAATATATATTATTTCTGAAAAATGGAGGCCCTCATAATTGGGGGCTTAAGGCACATGCCTTACCCACCATACTGGTAGAGTCGGCCTTGGACTGAGGCAAGGCCGTATGCTCTCCCTTATGTTCGCCGCCAACCACCTCCAACCAAAATTTTTCAGTGTCAACATCTGATGGTTGGGTTTGGCTAATCTGAATATATATAGAAGGGTTTTTGGAGCTCAAAATGGTGGCAGCTGGTGGAGACTGTGGACATTTGTAATGTTAAAATTTGCATGATATAATGCAAGTGGTGGCTGGCTGAATAGTCAGCCTTCTTGTAAAAGTATTGAGTTATGAGAATTGTCGATTACTGATTTTTAAGGAAAGAAACATTTATTGATCTTCTTTTACTTTTATGCTTTTCTTCCGACGGTAAAAAAAAATCTAAAAACAAGAGCAGTAAATATTATTTCTATTGTATTCAAAGAGAAAGATGCCCTTTTATTAGATACAAAGTACACTATTTGACTCCTATAATGCTACAAAGTCTATACACAAAATCTGCACATTCTGTGCACATAATCTGCACAATTCAAAAGTCAAAATGATAGTTCACCTCAATTTGAATTACATACATTGCAACACAAATTTATTCTTCTTCGTTTCTTCATTTTATTGTGTTGTTCTTCATAGGTCCCAAGCCCTTCTTAGAAAGCCTTCTTCCCTCTCCTTAAGTTAAGAAAAAAAGAATGTCTTTTGATTGAACGAACATTGTAATAATTTTTCTAACTGACACCCCAGTCATAATGTCACCCACATTTTTTTTTCTTTTGAACAAGCCTTCTAAATCTATTTTTTTTTATTTGAGTTCATAATAACTGACGGGTTTCATTAATGAAAAGAAAAGCGGAGGCCCGCCGTCTACTAGCATTGTGGTTTTCCATCGATTCTTTATCATTGGCCCACCCTTTCTTTGAACCTTGTCAATGATCGAACTTAAAGATATGAACTTAGTGCCATTTGATGAGTAACTCAGAACAAAGGAGAGGGATATGGAAAGAATGAAGTAATGAAAGAGGAAGTCTTGTGTTAGAGACATAATTAAGTAAATAAAATTGTGTCTTTTTGTCACGATCCAAACTAACCTCTGTCGTGATGGCGCCTATCGCGGAACTAGGCAAGCCGACTCATTTTCAAAACAAACTGATATTTTCATTTCAAAGATAATTTCAAGGTTATTAAACATAAAACCTATATTTAAAGAATTCAAATCAAAGAAAACAGAAGTGTGGAAAAGAAAAGCCCGACATCGGGGTGTCACTAGTCATGAGCATATACTACAATCTGTCTAACAATATCAAGGCTAACTCAACCCGAAAAATAACTAAATATAACTAGAGGAAGCTAAGAGGGAAAAGAGCAGGGGATGCGATCGCCAAACAGTTACCTTGCTATCTCCAAGAAAATCTGCAACCAGAACACTCAATAACCGCTACCGTGTCCAGCTACACCTGAATCTGCACACAAGTGCAGGGAGTAACACGAGTACGCCACTCAGTAAGTAACAACAATAAATAAAGACTGAGCAGTAGTGACGAGCAATAAAGCATATAACGTTCATATCAGGAAATCTCAGTAAAATACCACATGCTTTTAATAAAAAATCAGGATTTGAATCAAATTATCTAGTTTAAACCCAGTTCCAGTAAAAATCAATTAAAGACATTTTTTCAACAGTTTTTCAAACAAAGGCTCAATGCAAAGGTGAGCAAAAATGATGAAATCATAAACAGCCCCTCGGGCAAACCTTCCAGTCACTCGTGCCACTCGGGCATACCTCACAATCACTCTTGCCACTCGGGCAAATCTCACAATCACTCTTGCCTCACAGTCACTCAGCACTCGGCACTCGCACTCAGTAGGTACCTGCGCTCCCTGGGGATGTGTACATACTCCGGAGCGACTCCTTCAGTCCAAGTGCTATAATCTGCACGGACAACTCACGTGCGATAATAATAAAGTATGCTGCAGGCGGGCAGCCCCGATCCACACTCATCCTCACAAATCAGGCCCTCGGCCTCACTCAGTCATAAACCTCTCAAGCCACTCGGGCATTTCAGTAAAACAGGGCATTCGGCCCAAAACATTTATATGCATCAAAATAGAGTCATAAAACTGAGTTATGCGGTAAACAAGTATAAACATGACTGAGTATAGATTTTCAATCGAAAACAGTGAGAGGATGGTAAGAAACAGCCCCTAAGGGTCCAAACAGCATTGGCGCAAGGCCCAAACATGGCATTCAACCCAATTTACAGAAAATCTTTCTAAAACATATAAGTATCAATGATTTTAACAAAGTATGCAACTTTACAATTGCTATGGAACGGACCAAGTCACAAATCCCCAACAGTGCACGCCCACACGCCGGTCACCTAGCATGTGTGTCACTTCAAAATAGTAGAATGATACGAAATCTGGGGTTTCATACCCTCAAGACTAGATTTACAATCGTTACTTACCTCAAACCGGTCAAATCTCTAACCCGCAATGATCTTGCCTCTGGACTCGGCCTCCAAATGCTCCGAATCTATTCACAATTAGTACAATACCATCAATATGCGCTAATAGGATGAATTCCACAAGAAAAACTATAAAATTAGACCAAAACCCAAAATTGGCTCAAACCTGGCCCCCGGGCCCACGTCTCGAAATCCGACAAATTTTACAAAACTAGAAAGCTCATTAACTCACGAGTCTAACCATACCAATTTTACCAAAATCCGACCTCAACTCGACCCTCAAATCTACAAATCTTATTTTCAATTTCTAAGTTCCAACCTCCAATTTACACCTCAAAATCATGTAATCTAGTTGGATTATTCGATGATAATTCAATATTATGGAGTAAAAATGATCACAAGGGACTTACCTTAAGTTTTCCTTGAAAATATATCAAAAATCGCCTCTCCCCAAGCTCCAATTTGTCAATAATAGCAAATGGGACGAAGTCCCCGTTTTTATAATTCTGCCCAGACAACCTCGGTTCTGCCTCGATCTTGGCCTTCGATCGAGGTCCTCGATCCTAGGCCTTCGATCCTGGTTCTCGATCCTAGGCCTTCGATCATGTCTTCGACCCGGCCTTCGACCGTGACCCTCGACCCTGGGCTCGATCATGGCTTCGATCGTGGCACTCGACTCTGGGCTCAATCATGGCTTCGATCGTGGCCCTCGACTCTGTGCTCGATCTGGGCTCGATTTCTGGGCTCGATTCTGAGAGATTTCTAGGCTCGAATTTGGCAGAAGAAATTTCCAACAGAAGGAAATAGCAGCAGCTGTTGTAGTTCAATTTTTGATTCGTTAACCATCCGAAACTCACCTAAGGCCCTCGGGACCTCAACCAAATATACCAACAAGTCCTAAAACATCATACAGACTTAGTCGAATTCTCAAATTACCTCAAACAATATAAAATAATGAATTACACCCCAATTCAAGCCTAATGAACTTTGAAATTTCTAATTTCT